CCTTTTTAAATCTAGGACACAGTACCAGCCAGCTGTGCAAGTCATCGACTCATGAATCAACCTCTTGGTGTTCAAGGAAAAGAACCAGCAACCTGCCAATGCTGTTATAAGGCAAGGGAAGTAACTGCCTAGTGAGAACATATCAGAGCCTCCACAGGCACAAACTTGTCCTGGCATGGACACGCTGAACTCTGGGTTACTCTGAATCATCAGCAGCATACAAAATTAACCTGAAAAATGTGACAGTTCTTTTAAAGGGATGCACAGATCTAATTTGTCTGTTTTTCCAGATGAAACCATCTCTCTCCTTGCCAGCACACTCTTTGGCTGTAATCAGTAATTAAGGCTCCAGTCTTGAGTAGTTATGAGGCCATGAGTCCCATTCAGTTCAGTAGATGAAACATAATCTAAACAAGAAACAAAAGTGCACACAAGCTCAGGAAAATGCAGCAAAATACAAATTGTATTTCTATATAAAGCTCTTTGGACAGTGTCATTTTTCTGCAGTGAACATTAGGTTTAAACTCCTGCAAAAATACAGAGGAAGTTGTTATAAAATAAGGTTTCCCTTTTCAGCGCTAGACAGTGCTCCAATTCAACGAGCTCCTGCAGAATGCAACTTCATTTTAAAGTGATAAATCTCACTCTCTGCAGGCACCACAAGCAGGTAGCTCACCAAACTCAATCAGTTACCCTCTGGGTTTGTAACTGTAGAATACATTTATGAAAAGTGAGAGTTATAGTGTTGAAAATTGATGGCATCTTATGTTTCTAACCTCTTCTATGGATTTGGTTGAGGCTCCTATACTAGTAGTTTGATTGCAAATAATAACAACAGGCATTGCTTAATGGCTTTTTCAATGCGGCAATGTCCAAAAGCACATTACCCAATGGGTTGGATCCCAACATAGTCATAAATCATATTTTGACCAATTGAATACTAAGCTATGACTACATTAAATCCCATTGTCACCCAAAAAGAATGACTGATGAAGATCTGTGAATTCACTGAGATGAGTGTAAAGTTCATAGAATAGTCCCAATAGCTGTGTGAAAATATGTGTTTATTAGTGTACAAATGTTTTATGTTAGGGTGACTGTCTTACATATAATTGTGTTAGATGTAGTAGCTTTATATACTACAGGGAAAATTGTATTTTGTTTTTTCTAATTTTTTTGTTATTTTTGAATAAAGATTAATTATATTTTTTTTAAAAAGGTCTGTTGCATTCAGTGGGTTTAGATATGGCTCTATCTAGTCAATCTAACCATAATTTTAACCGTTGGAGTTAAATGGAATTTAAATTGACCCTGGTGCTCCAACTAGCAAAAGCAGGTTACATGATGGTTACTCATTTTAATGTTTTATGTTTTGTATTTACTTTGACATAGTTTTATATTGATTGTGACATTCTTGAGTTACATTCCATATTTACTATGACTTTATTTTTAATTATTTAAATTATTTGACTTGTTGTGGGTTTTATTAAAATGGAAGGAAAAATCAAGAGGGGCCGACCAAGGGCAAGATGGATGGATGGTATCCTTGAAGTGACTGGCTTGACTCTGAAGGAGCTGGGGGAGGTGACGGCCAACAGGGCGGTCTGGTGTGGAATGGTCCATGAGGTCACGAAGAGTCGGAAGCGACTGAATGAATGAACAACAACGTGTTTTATTATTATTTATGTTATTGTTTTGTTGTAAGCCACTCCGAGTGGCTTATAACAAAACAATAAAGCTTCATTCATTCATTCATTCATTCATTCAATCCAGGGCTGATGTGCTGATTTTTAAAAACTGGGTCTACCAATTTGGTTACATGCAGTGCCGGATCAGAATCCGAAATCTGACGTATTGTATTAATGTTTCTTACATTAAACTGAGCAGTAGCAATGGAACCTGAGAGAAATGTGTGGCAGATTGCCTGTGAAGAAGCAACAGTCTGGTAAACAGAGAGCAACGTCAGAGAGAAAGCTGAAGAATGAAAGCATCGTAGGAAAGCAGATTTTGTACGTGAGAGAAAGTGAGAGAGACCAGAAACCGCTTCTAATAAAAGCCAGAAAATTGAACTACTTCACCAGATAACTACATCTCAGACTTGTTAGGAGAAAATGGTAGAAAAATGTTAGCAAAGAACACTATAGGTGGCATGGATAAGCCACAGGCCACCATCCTGTGTCCGTCAAATTCAGCAATGCAGTTCCATTTTTTGTGAGGAAGCAAGGTACATGCTTTGTGCACAGCTTAACACAAGTCTTGTTTTCAAAGAATGGGGACCAAACAGAGCTTTCCAAATTGTCACGACAATAACAAAAAAACACTTCCCAACAACAACGACAACTTGGAAGTGTGTTGTTGAAGGCTTTCAACTTGAAAGTGGCCAGAAGTCCATCTCAAAGTTTTAAAGAACTGGGAAGTTTATGTTGAAAACATAAACATTTCCAACACCATAGCAGTCTAAGACAGAGTTTTCCAAACATTTCATGTTGGTGACACATTTTTAGAGATGCACCATTTCACCACACAGTAATTCAGTTTTACTAGCTAACCAGAGGTTAGACCTCCCTTATAAGAGATACAGACACATACATAAACTGTAGTAACAAAATGTATATGGTTGGCTTTGCACCCCATGGTGCCAGAGCGCAGTCTGTTCAGCGCCTTTTAAGTCGCCCAGTCTTCTGTGTGCCCAGGAGGGAGTCTCTCATTATCAGCCATGGCTTATTATTTAACTCCTCTGTTACGCAGCTCCACTGGCTGCCGATCAGCTTCCAAGCACAATTCAAAGTATTGCTTTTAACCTTTAAAGCCCTAAACAGTTCTGGCTGAGACCACCTGTCTGAACATATCTCCTGTTACAAACTATCACAAAGTGTAAGATCATCAGGAGAGGCCCTGCTCTCGATCCCACCACCATCTTAAACACGATTGGTGGGGACGAGAGACAGGGTCTTCTTGGCAGTGGCCCCCTCGTCTGTGCAACTCTCTCCCCAGGGACATCAGACTGGCCACCTCCCTCCTGTCCTTTAGAAGAAAATTGAAGTCTTGACTTTGGGACCAGGCGTTCAATTAGTGGACAATGGCAACTGGAAAGAAGACTTAGGAAACCCGTGACACTGAGCTATCCCAGACATGGATTTGGTTTTAACTGGCGTGTTTAATCTATTGTTTTAATGTATTTGTTGATTATTTATATGGGGATAGCATCATACGGTGCTTGTGTGAGGCCACCCTGAGTCCTCCTTCGGGGGTGAGAAGGGCAGGGTGGAAATGTATGAAATAATAATTTATTTGCGATATTTGTATACCGCAAAGCCCCTGCTCAAGGGGCTTGAGCAGAGGTCCTCAAACTAAGGCCTGAGGGCCAGATACAGCCCTCCAAGGTCATTTACCCGGCCCTCGCTCAGGGTCAATCTAAGTCTGAAACAACTTGAAAGCATGCATCAACATCAATCCTACCTAATCAGCCAAAAGCAGGCCTGCACTTCCCATTGAAATACTAATAGGCTTATATTTGTTAAAATTATTCTTCATTTTAATTACTGTATTGTTCTTAAGTGTTCTTTGCACTACAACTAAGATATGTGCAGTGTGCATAGGAATTCATGTTTTTTTTCAAATTATAATCCGGCCTTCCAACAGTTTGAGGGACTATGACCTGGCCCTCTGTTTAAAAAGTTTGAGGACCCCTGAATTAGACTTTCCCTTTTATTTATTTATTTAAAAGTTTTGTATACCGGCCTTCTCACCTCTCTTGAGGGACTCAGACCGGTTTCCAACCATAATATCACATACAATCAATAAAACATCATAATACATATTACAGTAAAACATTAAAACAGCAATTACAATCAATAACTATAATGGCAGTCGTCACACTAAAATCGTTGCTCATCATCCTCCATCCATATCTCAGGGTGTTGGCTCACTCGTCGAATGCCTGTCTCCATAACCAAGTCTTCACCTGTTTCCTAAATGTCAGGATAGATGGGGTGGTTCTGATCTCCAGAGGGAGAGAGTTCCAGAGTCGAGGGGCCACCACCGAGAAGGCCCTGTCCCTCGTCCCCACCAGACGCGCTTGCGAGGCTGGTGGGACCGAGAGCAGGGCCTCTCCAGACGATCTTAATAATCTTGATGGTTCATAGGGGAGAATACGTTCGGAGAGGTAAACAGGGCTGGAGTCGTTTAGGGCTTTATAGGTTAACGCCAGCACTTTGAATTGTGCTCGCTTGCTGAGGTGTCCCTGCAAGTATCTCTGTAGATCTCAGAAAACTATTTTAAAAGTGATGATAGGTTTCCATAAATTATGTCTTGTCCCCATGCATTTCATTATTGTAATTTATGAACGTGACTGTATCAATCATAAGGAATTGGTTTAACCTCTGGTTTTGCTAGTAAAACTAAATTACTGTGTCGCAAATTGATGCTAGAAGGAAAGCATCCTATTAAAATGTTTTTTGCAAAGTATATAGTTTGTCAATGCCTTATGTGAGGCTATAATACAGGCCTGGGCAAACGTGGGCCCTCCAGGGGTTTTGGACTCCAAGTCCCACCATTCCTAACAGCCTCAGGCCCCTTCCTTTCCCCACTCAGCCGCCTTAAGCGGCTGAGGGGGAAAAGGAAAGGGCCTGAGGCTGTTAGGAATGGTGGGACTTGGAGTCCAAAACCCCAGGAGGGCCCAAGTTTGCCCAAGTCTGCTATAATGGAAGGTGGCATAAATTCCAATATCTGCTTTTAAGATTCATTTGTCCTGATTGTTTCCCTTCCCCACACAAAACAGAAGACATTTGACCTATGAAGAACATTTTCTCTGAGGTCACAGTCACCTCAGAACAGAGAAAAGGCGACAACTGCGAAGGCGCCAAAAGCAGCTGTCAATCAATTCAGGAACAACAAGGCGAGGAGGCGAAGCTGCTGCGCGAGTAAAGAGCGCATGCGCAAAGGATTTTTTGTGTGTGTTGTTTTGCTTGTTCATCTCGCCTTCCCCTCTGCCATTCACCGGCTGATGACGTCACGATCCCGTCATTCTCAGCGGGGAGCAGTAGAGTGGAGGCTGAGGCGGAGCATGTCGGAGAAGAAGCAGCCCGTGGATTTGGGGCTTCTGGAGGAGGACGATGAGTTCGAGGAGTTCCCGGCCGAAGGTTGGTTCCGGGGGGAAGAGGGAACCAAGGGAGGGGGCGTCAAGGGCGAGAGGCGCATCGGGAGGATTAGAAGCGAGGGAACCTGTGACTGTGCACTGGAGGAGGCGGCAAGAGGCAGTAGTAGGCCTCAAGTGAGGACGCGCATGCGCACTCGCGCCTCCCACGCTCTGGCTCAGAATGGGAGATTGCTCTTCCGCTCTGGGCCTTCATTTGCCATTTTGACCATTCGGTTTCTCTGGCGTGTTGGACTGGCCTCGGAGACCAGATTTAGAATAATCTCTCGGCCATAATACCCGCTGTGTATTATGGTCTCACTCCCAGCCTCAGAGGAAGGCAAAGGGTGCATCTTCACCATACAATGAGTGCAGTTTCACACCACTTTAGTTGACATGACTCAGTATTCTGGAATCATGGGAGTTGTACTATGGTAAGGCACTAGAACTCTGCAAGAGAAGACTAAAGTCCTTGTAAAACTGCAACTCTCAGGCCAAGGCCTCAAAACACAACATAAATACAAAACCTAAAGCAAATTAAAAACAATTAAAGCAATATTAAACAACAAGCAATAAACAATACACCAAGACACAATAAAACTGGGCCGGGCCAGAGTAATGGGTACAGAATTAAAAGTGCTGATGTGACAGGTGATATGGCAAGCGCGCTTGGGGACGCGGGACAGGGCCTTTTCCGTGGTGGCCCCCCGACTCTGGAACACCCTCCCCAAAGACCTTAGACAGGCCCCTACATTGGCTGTCTTCAGAAAGAACTTGAAGACCTGGCTTTTCCGATGCGCCTTCCCAGATTAGGAAATCTCCACTACCAAGTCCCATAAGCACTTTATCAGAACCAATTATTGCTGCACATCGCACATCGCACTTGCCCTGGAAGCCCCATATACACCTCCTGTCACATCAGCACTTTTAATCTTGTACCCACCTTCCGGCCCGGCCCAGTTTTATTGTGTTTAGTGTATTGTGCCTGTTGTTTTTGCTTTATTCTGTTTTAATTGTTTGATTTGCTTAGATTGTATTGTTATGTTGTGTGTTGAGGCCTCGGCCTGTGTAAGCCGCATCGAATCCTTCGGGAGATGCTAGCGGGGTACAAATAAAGTTTAATAATAATAATTATTATTATTATTATTGTGCAGTGTGCAGTGTGCAGCAATCTTAATTCTAATAAAGTGCTTCTGGGACTTGTTATTGGAGTTTTCCTATTCTGGAAAGGCACATCGGAACAGCCAGGTCTTCAAGTTCTTTCTAAAGACTGCCAATGTAGGGGCCTGTCTAAGATCTTTGGGGAGGGTGTTCCAGAGTCGGGGGGCCACCACAGAAAAGGCCCTGTCTCGCGTCCCCACCAAACGCGCATTGAGCCATGGCAGGTTAAAGTGGCATCAAGCTGCATTCGTTCTACAGTGTAGATCATTGGTTCTCAACCTGTGGGTCCCCAGGTGTTTTGGCTTACAACTCCCAGAAAACTCAGCCAGTTTACCAGCTGTTAGGATTTTTGGGAGTTGAAGGCCAAAACATCTGGGGACCCACAGGTTGAAAACCACTGGTGTTGATGGACCCATAGGCAAATTTCCCCTGAACAGACATTGCCAAGAAAACCCGATGATGATGATGATGATAATGATAATAATAATAATAATAATAATAATAATAATAATACACTTTATTTATAATCACCATCTCCCCAAAGGGGATTCAGGGTGGATAACATGAGGCCAAGCCCAAAATTACAGTAAAATGAAATGCAAAGATACAGAATGGGGGATGCATGGCTCGAGAGCAGTACGTGTGAAAAAGATCTTGGGGTCCTCGTGGACAATGAATTAGACATGAGTCAACAATGGGATGTGGTGGCAAAAAAAGCCAATGGGATTTTGGCCTGCATCAATAGGAGTATAGTGTCTAGATCCAGGGAAGTCATGCTACCCCTCTATTCAGCCTTGGTTAGACCACACCTGAAATAACACTGTGTTCAATTCTGGGCACCACAATTGAAGAGAGATATTGACAAGCTGGAATGTCTCCATAGGAGGGCAACTAAAATGATCAAGGGTCTGGAAAACAAGTCCTATGAGGAGCGGCTTAAACAGCTGGGCATGTTTAGCCTGAAGAAGAGAAGGCTGAGAGGAGACATGATGGTCATATATAAATACGTGAGAGGAAGTCATAGGAAGGAGGGAGCAAGCTTGTTTTCTGCTGCCCTGGAGACTAGGACGCGGAACAATGGCTTCAAACTACCAGAAAGGAGATTCTATCTTAACATTAGGAAGAACTTCCTGACTGTGAGAGCCATTCAGCAGTGGAACTCTCTGCCCCAGAGTGTGGTGGAGGCTCCTTCTTTGGAAGCTTTTAAACAGAGTCTGGATGGCCATCTGTCAGGGCTTTGAATGCCATTTTCCTGCTTCTTGGCAGGGGATTGGACTGGATGGCTCATGAGGTCTATTCCAACTCTATGATTTTATGATTCTAAAATAAGATACAAACAGCAAATAATAACATCAAAATAAAATACAGAAAATAACAGAAAATGAAATAAACAGATGCAAACTAACGTGATGAAGAAATAAAAAAAAGCATGGTGGGTGGATCAAATGCAGAGGAAGATTGATAAAACCCTGGGTGAGATAAGTAAATTGAGAAGTATGTGTCTGTGGGGGAGCTCAGAAGGGGTGAACCTTCATTAGAAGGGATTGAGCCTTCATTAAAGACAAGGGAAAGTGTGTCATGAGGACAGAACTATAATTGGGACGGACATGATATGGGGATGTGTGTTCACTCGTCAAAGGCACACTGGAAGAGCCAGGTTTTTAAGTCTTTCTTAAAGGCTGCCAGGGTAGGGGCTTGCCTAATCTCACTAGGTAGCAAGTTCCAAAGCCAAATGGCCACAACGGAGAAGGCTGTCTCCCTTGTCCCCACAAGTCGCACTTGTGATGGAGGTGGGATCGAGAGGAGGGCAACCCCCAAGGATCGAAGAGATCATGCAGGATTGTAAAAGGAAATGTGGTCAATAGGTAAAAGTTTTCCCCCAGCATTAAGTCTAGTCGTGTCTGAATCTAGGGGGTGTTGCTCATCTCCATTTTTAAGCCGAAGAGCCGGTGTTGTCTGTATTTATTCTTTATTTATTTATAGTATTTATATTCTGCCCTTCTCACCCTGCAGGGGACTCAGGGCGGATTACAATATACATATACATGGCAAACATTCAATGCCATAGACACACAACGTATATAGACAGACACTCAGAGGCTATTTAACATTCCAGCTTCTGGCCACCAGGGGAGCTTTCACTTTCTCATTCTTTGCATACTTCTTGGAGAATTTTTATGGCCTTGTAAATAATGTGGCTGGCATGACTGTATGGAACACCGCTATCTTCCCGCCAAAGCAGGAATCTACACACATTTGCATGTTTTTGCACTTCTAGGTTGGCAGAAGCTGGGGCTAACCTGTGACGTTTCAGTTGGCAAGTTCAGCAGCTCAGCGGTTTAACCCACTGCACCACCGGGGGCTCCATGATGATGATGATAAAGATGATAAAACTTTATTTATATTCCACCCTATTTCTCCAAGAGGACTCAGGGTGGATTCCAGCAAACAAAAAGGCAAACATTCAATGCCTTTACAAGACCGTGAATACAAGTAGAATAACAACCCTTCCAATGCCCAAAATGAACCAACATTTAGAGTCAAATTAAACTTTCAACCTCAAATTAAATGTTAACATAGGCTATCAGGTAACTTAACATAAAGAACATGAGGTCCAAGTGAAATCAGTTTACAGAAACACCAAAAGTTCTGTTGAAATAAAATTAAAAGAGTAATTACAAGAATCCCCATAATTCTGAAATGATTTGACGACACACAATAGCAATGGCCTCCTTCCACTTAACATGGCCCACTGCTTACTTACCCACAGCCACAATGTGTTCATTGGTCTGAAAAACAGGAAAAGCCTTCTCTGTCAGATTATTATTACAGGTTTAGTATTGCTTATCCAAAATGCATGGCACCATATTTTTTTAAGAAATTTGAAATAGCTGCATGGAATATCTCAGAGATGGGACCCAAATCATGTATGTTTTCTGTACCCCTTCTACACAAAGGCTGACAGTAATTTTGTACACAATATTTTTAATAATCCCGTGCATATAATCATTGAAAAATAGAGTTGGAAGAGACCACATGGGCCATCTAGTCCAACCCTCTGCCGTGAAAGAAAAGCACAAAGTACCTGACAGATTTCCATCCTGCCTCCCAGCTTGTGTACACTAAACCATTAAAAACAAAGATTGATCTATCTCAGTCACCCATGTGGACAATTTTGGATAAGGGATCTCAACATATATTTTCTATTACTAACATTACTATTATCATTATCATCATCATTATCATCACCATCATCACTCATATCTTGTCTTTCTACCTGTTATGGGAGTCAAGATGGCTAACTATATTTAAAGCAATATAATGCAAAGTCAAAGCAAAAGCAGAAACTTAATTGAACAATTTATGAGTTTAAACATTAGAAATATTAAAACACAGAAATGAATCCCCGACAAATGAGGGTTTCCCTGTTTCAAGATGGAAGCAGTTACAGCAAAACACGTTTCGATTGCAGAATGAAGTCAAGGTCTTTATGTTTTTGTTGAGAATAGGTGTTTGGAAGGAGTGGTATTTCCCAACTTTTACATGGCTAATGTCATCAAATATAAAGGAAGGGTAGGTAGGCCCACTCTGTGGTTTATGTCTGAGGCAGGACAACAACTGGTGCCCTCTGAAGTCATAACAAAGATAGAAATACTATTCTGGAATGTGATGCAGACAGTTCCACAAGCATCCCATACATGGTGCAAGAAAAATATAATTATGCATCATGTATTACTGTTAAATATTCATGACTCCTGAATTCTATTTACTGAAGCCCTGAGAACAGATAATGTCCATGTTCAACACAAAGTACCTCATGCATTTTAACTACAATACTGTGTATTC